TAAGGCTTTTTTAACCTTTTTAAGGGATGTTATCTCATTTGATTTTAAATCCTTTTTAATTAATATACCATACAAATGAATAAATAAGATATTTTTATAACATTTCATGATTAAGAGGTAAAAAAGTCTTAAAAATTTTCCTTGATATTTATTTGCTTGTAATGAAATCTAAGATTTTCGCGAGTTTTCATTTAAATGAAACGAACATTTGTTACTTTACAGCAACCGTGATCCCGGTTGCTGTAAGTAGCCAAAACGTGGGGAATATGGTGTTTTTTTACAAAATAAAAATCGCCTAGTACGTAGTACCTAGTAGTAGTAGTAGTTTCATTTATTTGTTTATTCTATGAAACAAATAAGTTATTAAAATATATATTGTCATTATGTTACCTGTAAGTTTTAATGATCTTCATAAATGAAAACGATTAGCTCAACATTATTTAAACATTACAAATAAGCATCGTTTTATACATTCAAGAATATTTTAAGCCATTTAATATGATTAATTTTATTCATTAAATTATTACCAGTAATTGTTAATTTATTAAGATTTTCATTGGATGTTATAAGGTGTTATAAAAATTTACAGAATTCTTTTCATATTTCTTGAATAAGTAAAAGGATATCTCAGCCATTTTGTTATAGATTGTGTTTATTTTGTTTCGGTCTTTATGTAACATATCACGGAAAATGTGGTAACGTATAGTATGACATTAACTGAACATCTCTCGAGTTCTTAATAAAATAAAGCGTAATGGATCCCCATGTCATGAGAACCACTCTCGAGCTTTTAACAGCTTAATATTACGGATCACTTCATGCTTTTATTTTCTCAGAAATATTATATACGAATATATCAATTTGTTTATATTTTATAAAAATAGTCAAAAAAGTTGTTAAAAGACAAAGTTTAATTAAAAGACAAAGTTGTAAAAAAAGCTGTTAAAGTTATATATGACTAAGGGTTGAATTGACAAGCTGATCTTTTTGCAATCATTATTCTCACTCATTATATGTTAGAATATTAGCCTACCATCCTAAAGATTGCATACAATGTACAGTGTATGTGTGTGTGTGTATTGTCTCCTCTCCACATATCTATTTTTATACCCATTTTACACTATTTATAAAAAATGCTTTGAGCTCCATCAATAATGTAAATCTTATAACTTCAAGTAAATTTTCATTTAAATCTCAAAAAAAGAACAATTTTTTTTTTTAAAACAATTCAAAGAAAACAACATGAATATGAAAGTAATACTAAAGCTATCAAAATTTTTACCAATTAATTTCAGCCTACATTCCTGTCAAAATATATTTTTAATAAAAAAAAAGATCAACCAGAAAGATAGACAACGTTAAAAGACAAAAACAAATATAGACATGACATATTATATTAAAAAGAACAGAAAATAAAGATATTTTAGTTCCAAAACATTTCCACAAAACAGTTCAAGTACATAATTATATTATTGAAATTTTCCTTCACTCCTTATTTTAGTAATATAAGAATGTAATGGAGTAATTTATCTGTCCCAAAAGTGTAGAATTTAGGAGCTGTCTCGTCTAGAGGCTATTATTTCCAAAATGTCTTTGGGACAAGTTCCCGTTCGCAAGAAACTATGATATAAACTGTGAATAACTACTTTAAAACAGTCGTTGTGATCGAACAGTGAACATTCCTAATGAACTAGAAAACCGAGAAAGGCCTAACATAATCCAACACGTTATTGTTTGAATCTAAAAATCATTACGTATTCTTAGGATTAATTTATCCACAAAACTGGTCAATAAAGAGATCAGCAATATAGTTGCTAAGCACCGAACAAATGTACTTGCTTCATATTGTGCTCTAAGGCTAAGTCTAGACCTTAACCAACTGATGAAATAATAAAACATAGTTTATGATAAATAAAATATATGAGAGAATGAATGGAAAATGGCTTGTATAAAAAATCCTGTTAAAAACATTTTTCATTGTTTTTTTTATACCAACCAACGTGTTAAGAATGCGCTTTGCTCTTTTTTTTGACTTATCATTACTCTGAGATTTAATGGCCTGCATAATGTAAATCAGCCACTCTAGTGTTTTACCATAGCGTAAAATAGCTAGATGAATTACAAACCAAGTATATTGACCACCAAGTATACCAAGTATATAAATGTATCCTAAATACTACATAAGATAATATACATAATACTGATTAAAAATGATAGTATTATACGATTATTACTAGGATAGGTAAAGATTTATTGCATCGTCAGTCATGACAAATGTATACTGCGCTAATGTTGATGAACATACAATTTATCATAATTTAACAATACTTCATAAGATTATAATTAATTTATTATATGATTTGTGTAAAAACAAATAATTTGTTAACGATACCAATTGTGTTATTTAATTAAATTATATTTTAAATTCAAATTACAAAATGGCCTAAACAATGTTATATAAAAATGTATAAAAATGTATGAAATGCTCAAACCATCAATTCGTTTTTTGACAGTAACAAATTAAACCTCTATGACAATCCAATGTTAAAACATGCAATATATTACACGTAGAGGTAAAAGCAAATGTTACCTATGATAAAATGATCAACAATAAATGATCCCGGTTTAATTCACAAAAAATAGCTATCAAAACTAATCTCTTTTATGAATATAAGCTAGTGATAAAAGATTAGATTACGAAATCTCTATTTCTTTTGTTTTATATATCATTATACAATTAATATTTGTTAATAATAAGATTTTCCAATGATATTGTAGCGTTGACATCTTTTTATCACAAATATATGTAAAACAAGAAATAATTATTTTTAATACAATAATATAAATTTATACCGTTTTGTCTTTACTTTTTGTATAACAATATAATATGTATGTATGTGTGTATGTATTTTTGATTTAAAAAATAAAAATAGGATTAATATCAAGTATTATAGATTTTTTTCTATCAATACGAGCAAATATGATTAAAAATATAATGTATCTTAAAGCATTCTTTATAAAACATTTAAAAAGAATAATCAGAAAGACATCAAATAGTAATAATTTAAAATATTCACATCTTTATCCTATAAAACAACTCTTTAATCTGTACAATATTTTTGGAATGGTATGAAAACAAAGTATATAAATAAATATAATATTCAAATACATCGATGAATAAAACATGTTTAAAAAAGACTGGTTCCTACCATAATACTTCATGACGGTCGTTTTACAATTCTGTGATGTAAATTCTAACATTTCCTTGCGTGAAGGAACGAATTTAAATAAAATGAACAGGCAGGCTAGAACTTATAATATACATATATTCCCTTTTTATTATTGTGTTTCTTGTGTGAAATAATTTACTTATAAAATTAATAGTTAGTTTATAATATAAACATGATTTTGGGTTTTAATATTTTTGTACGATTGTAATTGTTGTTAGAAATTTAAATTGGATGGAGCGTGAAGCGGACTTGAATTAAAAACTTTAAATTAAGAAAGCAGTTGCAGATTCTAAGTTTATTAGACAGTCGATAATTACTTTATAACAATTGACTGCTTTATATATCAAAGAGATTTAAAAGTAAACAAATTAATAAAAATATGAGCACTCAAGTATTTGCGTATATTTATGGAATTATCCATAAATATATTTTATTATTTTAAAAACAATATACCACGCTAAATATCCATTTGTCATCACGATATTCTCTACAATCGAACCTCTCAGGTATATAGGATTATATACGTTTTACCTATTTTAGAAAATATATATAAATAACATTTGTGTTATCAGTTAGATAACAACCTGTATAAAAAACGTGATAGGAATAAATTATATCCCTAAATTGTTTTTAACTAAAAAAAATTCAAATTAAAAGTTCCAATTATTTTTATAATATCACACTTGTTTCAAGCTTGTTTAAATATTTTTTGTATGTTAGTGTTTCGCTTTTGTAGTTTAAGCTTCCTATCAGTATGCTACTGGTTTGGTATAATTTTATTCAATATGCATAATACAAGAAATCTAATTCTTTTAATGAAAAATAAATACGATATTTTCATTTCATTGTGTAAAATATATAAAAAATTTCTTTTTAAAATTTATTGCATATGTTTTAAATTACTATGTAAAGTATATAAAACTAAAAACATTAAAACTTTAAGAACTACAATAAGTTGTTGTAACAAATAATTACAATCCTACTACTTTCATTGAAGTGATAAAAATATTTTTTTAAATAGAAGTTATTATTATCATTACATGTATATAAGATTATTGCTAAATAGTTAAAAAATAATTCTTAACATTAAATAATGCATCTCAATAAATTTGTAAAAAAAGATAAGTATTTCGAAATCAATAAAAATTTCAGTAAAAAATTAACATATTTTACTATCATACTATGTTCGTAGTAACAGTAAGGAAATACTTTCTTTGAAATAAATATGTAATTATCTAAGTCTTCTTATTTAACTTATAATTAAAATATTATATTTTTTTACAATGATTTTTCAATTTCTTTCTTCCTATTATTTCCATGTACGTAACATTTAAAGACTTGAAGGAATGGAATCTCAATCAGCAAGCACAGTGGGACGGCAGCAACCAATGACAATAATGTCACGCCAACAGTCAATAAATTCTGGAAAAAAAGAAAAACCAATGATAAATGTATTGATAATTGTTTCATATTAAAAAAAGACAAAAAGGAGCTGATAATGATCGTGTAAGTTCACAAGTAAGTGGAAAATCAATTTAAAAACTAACCATGTTTGTATCCGAAATAAAAAATAGAGAATCACTCAATCCTATGTACAGCCTTATAAATACCATGTGAATTATATACACGGAATATGAGAGACGGCTCGGTATTATCCAAATATCCCATTCCAATACTCTTCGAAAAACATCTGAAAAATCATAACATAAATGTATTAACAAAAATCTTAGAAGCCAAACGAAATAAAAAGAAAGTATGAATCCTTGTAATTTAGTAATGAGTCTTACTTTCTACTTTAAATATCATTCCTAATAAAAGGATAGCTATCAGGGAAGAGAAGATGGGTTTGATTAGAGCCGCGTACGCGACGCGAACTAAAAGTGGATCGCGGGGAGCATCACGATAGAATACCTCTCCTGAGAACATGACTGCCGTTGTCAGGGGTATTAGCGCCCAGTAAAGATATCTTAGTCCCTGTAAATAATGAAAAAAACATCTTAAAGGAATAGAAAATAACGTTCATATATCAGTAGATGTTTAGCGATTCAAATTAGTTACTACTCCATTGATTAAAGTCGTTATTGATATATTAATATTAAAAATTTATACAACGTATAATAATAATTAATAAATTATTGTTTGGATTTTAATATAAAATTTGATCTGTAGTAGGTTTGAAGGAAGTTGTGTCGTGTAATGATTATAAAAGAGACAATGATCTCCATGAGATATAAATGCTCAAAATATTGAAGTAAATATATAAAGAAGTATAACTTTTGACCATACCACATTAAAACAAAAATATAGAAGCACACTTTATTTACTCACTGTATTCTTTGGTACTTGTAATCTGGTTTTTCGTTTTTCATAAACATAATAACCAAGCATCATACCAATGATAAAGCTGGGTATATTAGCGTGACCCATTTTATAAGTTTCGTTGAAAGTGGAACCGGTCCAAAAAAGAGTCTTAATTTCTCTAAAATATACGTAACAGGTTTAAATAAAAGTTATCAGAACTTTTACGACCTTATTGGTTTGGAAATAACTAAACAATAATAGTATTTTGATAATAAACCATATATATAAATTCCATACATACTCAGGAGCCAAAATTAGTATTGGATCTAAATCACGAACATATGTGTGAATAGCTATTGCAGCAATCCCTAAGAGTAGAACACTAGCCAACACAGGTTTCCTCAGACTTTTCTTCTTCAAAATCACGGATAAAATTATTCCCAAGCAATATAATTGCATGTCTGCTCCAAGATACCTACAAAGAGATATTATTCTGTAGTTATATGATATATAAAATTTTATTACTGAATATATACGAGTATTATTAGCTATCACAGTTTATTAGTGACATTATCTACAATAACAGTTTCAACATGGAACGAGTTAAGAATGTAGACATTTCGTTTCCTCGTATTTTTATATGAAGATGAATCTAATGCCATACCAACAGTGCACTAAGCATTGGGAGTTATATTTGTAGTTGTTTATGTAAAGTAGATTGCGCCACCATCCACTCCTACAGTGAGAGTACAGCACATTCCCAGTGTCCTTACGTTATATGAAAAAATAAATAATAATATAGAATTATTTATATGTAATACTAAAAAACCATTGCTCCATTTTAAATACAAAGATAATGAATTATAAAAGTGAATTTACAAGAATTAATATAGAAATCATTAGTTACCTGCCAGAGCGGCCCGGGGCCTAAATATTTTAACCAAGTACCGCACACTGCTATAACCACGGCATAAACTGGTGATATTCTGATGAAAAAAAAATGTCGTTCATTATCCCTACTAATATTATAAATGCGAAATTAACTCTGTCTGTCTATCTGTCTGTCTGTTACGCTTTCACGCCTAAACCACTCAACTGATTTTAATGAAATTTGGTTCAGAGATAGAGTTGACCTTGAGAAAGAAGAAAAGTTCTCTTGGAAACACGATATTGCCGAAATCGACGTGGGCGAAAGCTAGTTTAAAATATATATACAAGAGTTACACATAGTATATAGTGAGTGTTACCTAAAAAATCTTGATATAATACTTTTAGGGATGGAGTAACAGTTAATGTTATTTTTTTCCAAATATATCTCGGTATTGTGTGCTAACAGAAATCCCGACATAAGAAAATTTATCTGAATTCCAAGTGATCCAGTCATCAATATATTCTGTCGTACATTATAGAATGCCTGAAACAAACGGGAGTTGAAATGAGTAAGAGGTTGATTGATTTTTTTCTAAACTATGTAAGGATACTGACCAGTTCCAAAACATGAAGATTTTTTCCTGCACGCATGTATGGCCACGTGATATGAACCATTATCACACCAACGAGAATGAAACATCTAAAAAAATATGGAATCAACTCTTTATAACATTTTTTTCAAGATATTCTTTATTATTTCAAAAGTGTGTTCAATATTATATGTAATGTTCAATATTATAAGTATGTTCAATATTATCAGCCTATCGCAGCCCATTGCTGAACAAAGGCGTCTTCTCACATGAAGAGGATTAGAGCATTAGTCACTACGCTTGTTCGAGGCGGATTGGCGACTTCAAACTTATAATTTGTAATTATAAAGTCCAAGTTTCTTCACAATGTGCTACTTTACTGTTGTCAGTGGGGTCCTAAATACTGCAAGTCATATGTACTACGAAGGACATACGACTAGGAAAAATCACATTGGTACTTGCCAGGTTTCGAACCCGTGCACTTTTGGTATAGGCCTTTAACCTCTAGGTCACCACTACTTTTTTTGTAGCTATGTTCATAATAATTACTTAAAATGTATCGATAACAATCAAAATGTTGTATTTATATTTTACGTTTCATACCGAATTCCATTTAATCCCTTAAGGTATTCTATTTGACCGTCTCCATTTGAATTGTAAGACGTAAGCTTCTTCCAGTTTCGTGCAAGTGAAAAACAGAGTAGATATTTCTTATCTGTAACAAATATATGTTTTATGCGTATACTAAATATTCAAAATAAACAATACCTTAATACGTACCTTTGATATTTTCTTTACTCTTGTAATCGTAGATAGTTCCAGCAACGTTTAACAAGACAATTGTCAATAGTAGTATAGCAATTGCTATATCAGCTTTGTCGAGCTCTCGTTTACTGTCAGATAGACCGTGACAATTGAATCTTGTCACTTGGGTACTCAAACCATATTCCTTCATAAACGTATCATTGAGGCATCTTTCAATTGACGTCTTCATCTTCGCATGGCCTATGTAATTTTGACATCGCTTAGTAAAGCAGATACCGTGATTCAGTTGGGAATGATTGTAATGTGTAGATGTTTGTTCTGAATATTCCTAAAATATTGAAATTATTACAACGGAGGGTAAATTTAAATAAAAAATATCAATACAGAAAAGTAAAATAACATACGTGAATCATTGTTAGCAGTTCATTTTCTGTGTCGGAAATCAAATTGAAATCCACGTTACAATAAACATCGGTTGGCTTTTCAAGACAGGTTTTGTAATCATCAAGTTTATAAACAGGAGGCATACGGTTAAACTCAGTGTCTATAAATAAATTAGTAATAATAATATAGTTATCTTAAATATCTCTATTAGAGTGATACTTACTTACCATTTAGATAATAAATCACCCCTTTTATTTCGGTCACTAACATTGCAATTGTTAATAAACATATCTTTGGACACATGTTTAACGTTTCACTTATCAAAACACTATAAATTAACTGAATATCACAAATTTTGCATCCTAAGTATATAAGCGTGTGTACGCTTCAGGTAAAAATAACAAAGTAAAGAATTTATTTAACGAAACTCCTTATAAGACCCACGTAACTGATGAGAGTAATATTTTTCAAGGACTGAAAAAATATTTGACTTGATGCTACTGATAAGTCTACATTTATATTCGGATGTGGAGACTTAAGTTTTTTATATATTATATGTATGTATGTTATGTTTGTGTAATAAAGTTAATATTTATTGACACCACAACCATGTGTATATAATGGAAATAATGGATTTTAAATATGTGCGTTATAATAATATTTATGATTTTAACGAGTACATATTTACACACATAAATAACACTGTATATTTAGATTTTTAATTTTACCGTTTTGATTACGATTAAGTAAGTGTTTGAGATTTTGAGTAATGAGTAAGTGTTTGAGACTCCGCGTTTAGTAAAACGAAAAATAATAAATCAGTTTTATTCAAATATTTTTTGTAAGTTGGCTGACTTACAAAATATAAGTAAGGAGGTCATCATTTGAGCTCATCGGATTATGAGCAAGGTATACTTCAATATTTGCATAATCTTTTTAAACAGTAAAGCATTGAAATTAAACGAATCTAATGATAGAAATAATTTGTTTAATTGCATTTTTAACATTGAAGTAAAGACCAATAAATATTTAAATTCAAATGTAAATTAGAAAATAGTTATAATGAAACATTCATGACAACAGCAGCATTTAAACCTGCAACCTGTTTACCAACAATATATGTATAACTATGTCTAATGACTAACTTTTTTGTAACTTCTCTTTAACGTAATAATACGTCAGAGGTGAAAAAATTACATGGAATGTACATATATGTTTCAGAAAGGTACTTTATAAGAAGAGTGAAACACGGTGTTTGGATAGTTGGAGCCGTTGGAATCGTGAGAGCTATACTGAACCTCTGGTGATTTCCGAGGTATGACAGAGTCTAACTCAGGAAATTTGAAGAGACAGTATGAGAATCATACTTTGTGTTAGACTTTAGGATTGGATTTCTACCTAGAAACATTAATACGTTTCGTTTGAATGCACTGCTCATTTCGTAGTGTTTCGTCTGCTAGATAAATCAAGTGTATCTTTTATAAACGTGATTGTTTATTATTCGTCTTCTTACTTCTGCTCGATCACCCATCGGTAACTAAATAAGGTCTGAAAATGATAGCGGCCGTCTTGTTTACCTAAAACACAACATATTTATCAATCAGACTTTCAGCAGTTTTAATAGAAAGTTTTAATATATTCTTAAGCTAAAAACACAACATAAGTTTGAGAATAGAAGAAGCATGTTTATTTTATACCCAAAAGGACATTTCGAATACATCACTTAATTGTTTCTGATCATTCCTTTTTTGAAGCACAGAAAATTGCACAGTAATAAACATATGTTTCTCGCGTTTTTGACATGAAAATCATATAAGTCTATAAAATGATGAGAATATTATGAACCTACATACATATCAACTACTATCAAAGATAATGATATTTGTGATTTTCGCTTGTAGACATTTCAATAAAACTAAGTATTTCGGATACTACACGTTTTTTTTTATTATTTTACATCTAAGTGATCTCGATCTTTTAGTTGATTTTCAGCAACCATGATCATGGTAACACGAGATAAAAGAATCTGATACTGACATTGCATTTACTATCAAGGTTACTGACAACGCATAATAATTTTTTATATGTAACTGTCCTAAATAACGTTTTAAATAGTGACATATATGTACTTACATCAATTAAGTTTATGAGTACTGCATAATAACGTTATATTCTTATGCTAGTCCATTAATTGATGATGACGTTATTCCTTGTAGCTCACGTTTAAACACTATTACAATAAATATATATTTAAACCGGTTTATATACACTATAAATATAATAAGAAGTTAGTAACAAACATTATATTTAATTTTGATATCACAAATATTTTAATCACACTCAAATATTGATATATAATTACATTAGGTTTTGTACTATACGACCTCAAGAAGTAAATAAGCAATGAAAAAGTTGGTAATATCTTTTAACTAGTAAATCATGTCACTTCTATAGAGTATAGTAAAATATAATATATTTTACTTCTAAAGAAAACAGTATGTATTATTTTTATATTGCATTATTTCGTTAATTTCAGGTACTTTGTTTAGTTATACAATATGTGAAACATTTGTAAAAGATTATAAAAATATAGCAGCATAAAACTATATAGTAGTTGGACTAAATATACTTCTATGTGTAAGACTTTCTCATAAAAGTAACTATAGGTTTATTGTGGTTCAATGAATAAAATAACTTCAGGCGTTGGTCGCTTGTTTCCTCGCATGTATATATAACAATATCATAAAATGTTTATAACTTTATAGGAACTTTTTCGGACAAACAATTTCGTTGGCTTTGACAAAAAACATTTGAAAATGTTTTAGAAACTTCAACATTGTGTTGATAGCTATTTTGTAAAAACATTGTTCAAACTCTTTGGACAACGATATTTGTTGATAAATTGGATTATTCAATGATTTTTCGCATTCCTAATTTATTGACATCGGTAAGTGAAATTAATTGAGAAGAAGTTTGTTTTCAAAATTGAAATTACTTTTATATTACGAAATCTCACTTTAACTTATATTAGTTATTTACTTAATATATAATAATGTATTTTTAAGGCATAATATTATTTTCTATCGACACTGACTAAAAGATAAATTTGGTTACAGTTTCTTAGCTGAAAGATAAAATAAACAATAGTTGTTGCCCGGAGCTTTGCCCTCAGATCAAACTCTCACTTTAAGATATCACCATTATGAAGTGTCATTCGATTTCTAGAAGATCCCTTAGTGAGATCTTGATTTAGTAATAGTGGAATTACCTGAATACAATGTCTTTTATCCAGTGGAAAATATTATTTGAAAAATCGTCATTTAAATGAAGGAGTAATAGCGTAAGTAATATATATAAGAGAAATAAGATTATTTTGTTACATGCATACTAAAATGGAATAAGAATTCTTATAGAAAATACGTTAAAAGAAATTCATAAACACTTTACAATTCTCCCCACTTAAAGTTATTACATTAAATATAAAATAGTTGTAAAAATGAGGCTCGATTTTATTACCGTCACTATAAAACTAAATGCATAATCATTTATACTACTGTAGTATACTCTCCTGACACAAAATACCAAAATATTTAAATTTGTACTCATCAATAGTCTGAAAAATGTATCGAAAATATTATAAACAGTTATTATTCATTGGTCATTCTATCATCTTGCATTTTTTAAGTCTTAATTTCAAGGATAATAATTGGAAAATCTAAGTACTAATAATAAATGTAAGTGCCGAGGTTTACAGTTAAAATAGAATTTATTTATTTCAAAAACCATTTTTTGGTATAGATATTAAGGGTTATGGAATGAATCATGAAGTCTATTTTAGATGCTTCTTATGTACATATTTCTATTACATCAGTATTTAAAATGTAAGTGTTTTTACTTTTAAATGAACAAAAACTTTTCACAACTATTAATATATTGCTTTATAGTTTTGTACGAAACAAATAAATTATATGAATGTTTTTGAATAAATAACCGACTAGAGATTTAAACTTAACCTTCATTAAATATACATAAATATATTCAAATTGCAATTATGCAACTACTAAATGTACAATATACGTGTAAAATATATTTACATATGAATATTTACGTTCAATAATATATTATGTTAAGTAACCGTAGGTAATGAATGACGAACCACTCTCACAGCTGCACAGGCTACGTTTTGAGCCCACGCATTTTTAGAAAAATCAGGAAAGTTGTTATTAAACTTGTATGCTTTGGGCTCTACACGTGTGTAAAAAAAACTTAATAAATGTGTTATAATTTTCGAATCCCAATATGAAAATAAATGAATACGTAAAATAAATAACATACTAGTGACATCTTTTAATCTAACGCTCTAGGAATAGATATATTTTACTTTATGGTGCAATTTTGTTATAGTTTTTGTAATATCAGTTATAAAGCAGATTGTTAATTACTTTTAAATTTAAGATTAGTTTCTTTTATATATAAAACCTTTTTATATATCGAAATGCTACATTGTTTTCTCCATAATTTGGTTAAACTACGAATTAAACGCTTATTGCACTATCTTCAATCAACATATTATACAATCATGAAAATTATCGTTAATTTAAAATAATTAATTTAAACCTATATTGTTTCAAATGATTAATCTGTTGCTCCATCAATGAGTAAGGATACGGTTACGTTGTCTCTCTTGAGGGAGAATGTGTAATGTTGTGGTTCAGTAATTGATCTCTCCTATGCTGTAAATGGAATAAATGGATTGCTAACTGAATAACGATTTGTTTAATCAAAATCGTGTCAGTGTTTAAAAGTTAGCTATAATAATATTAGAATATACTTGCCAATATTACA